ATGTAATTATGTAAGAATGTTAACACTGTTATATTTTTTTAGTATATTACTTGTGTGGTGTAGAAGAGAATTATTTATGTAGAGATACTGCTTGCAAACCAATGATGTAAGATGATGTCATGGGGTAGGACTGGATAAGTCTGACTTCTTCCTACTCCATTCAAGCATGTACTAGGTATAAGCAAATTGATATTGGATTAGCATTTGTTGGATATGTGTAAAATTATCTGTGTTGATATATCAACTGTTTTTACATGCTGGAAAGAATAAATCAAATCAAATCAAATCAAATCTTCTGTGACACCAGAAATAGGTCACTGGCCTCAACCTCACGCTGCCATAATAGCAGAAAGAGAATTCCTACCATATACCATCCAGTTGTTTTCCTGAAACAGAAAGAAGACGAGCAGTGAGAGAGAGTAGGCAGCAGGTGATCTATGCTGTCAGCTCCATGGAGCAGTTAGCAACATTTGAACCTTTCCTTAGGTTGTATTGATATAAATCAGTCACGGTTTGCAGTGTATTTTCGATATAAATAAATAAAAATATATATAATAAGCGACTTTACAATGCTCCTCAGAGACGGCGTCTCCCTCGGTATTCATTATCACTTACTGTATTTATCCTAAGGCCACACTACATTTCATTCTGCTTACCTAACATGATAGGACTGAGACTGCGAGCCATTCCTCTCGACAAATCATAAATATACAGCTGTACACTGTAACGCGTAGCATTCTTATCCATATTGTAAAACGCCACACGAATAAGCTAAGAACCTTCAATAGCACAGCTGAGTGTCGGCTCTATAAGAATGATGTCATTACGTCTAAAATATGTGTAACACTTCCGTTGTTCTAGCTTTCAAAGTATAACTTGACTGAAAAAAATTAACAATGCGTCAGACGCAGTTTTTGAGAGAAATTGCTTTATTTTGAAGGAGCATAGACTATTTTCCGGTTTTACCCTGTCCATTTCAGAATGACTTGACACAATTTACAACAGCTGACCGGTTTTTTGCGCATATGAAACATGATCAATTAGCTTGACAAGAAGAAATAAATAGCTCTGAGTCTTTTGTCTTACCACGGTGGTGCTCCACACTTTAGTTCAGTAGGAGAAATAAGATGTTTTTTCGTTGAGTAAATCACATTATAGCCTATAACGTTTGGGACATTATATTTAGAATAATGGTAATGTATGTTTGTATAATAATATGTATGAACAACTGGTAGCTTTCCTGTATTAAAAGAAGAGTAACACTGTGCAGTGACCATTGTCTCAGCTTTCTAACAATTGTATCAGACCGACTAGTAAATTCGTATTCAAAAGCGGGACACACTTCCATGGATGCGCTGTAATACCTGGCCACTAGAGGCCGCTGAACACACGTTTATAACCTGTGGTCCGCATTTATAAGCAAAAAGTGGTGGTAATGCGCATAAAACCAGAACAGGATTTTAGATTTTCAATTGTAAGGACATTTTTAAACAAACAAATAAAAACAGGATCAGTCTTAAATTATAAAACGGGTACTTAGAAAGAATAGACTGTTTCAGATATTTGGTACTAAATATTTATGTCAGAGGAGCAGAGAAAGGGAACAAAACCAATCTTTCAATATCGGGTCCGTTTTACCTTATGACTATAATTTGTTAATAAGCATCAACGGCCTGGACACAATTATAGCATCAGGTTTTGCAAGTGTTCTGCAGGGCCAGCTTCTCCACTGTCAGCTTTATGGTGGATATGGAAGAAAGGACTTTGGAAATAAGAACACCGTGAACATACTGGGCAAACGCAGGGGTATGCTACACAGTGAAAATCATCTTGTCCAGAGTCTATTAAAACCATATCAAGAGAAGGAAAAGTTTTGATTTAAATCTGTTAGACAAGCAAAAAAGAAAAATATGGACCAAAGTTAAGTAATTGAGTTATTTTGATAACATGAAGTCAAACAGTGGATTATATAGTAAGCTTATGATGGCTTATACTGTTCCACACAACATGTAAAGAGGGAATTACAGACAACAAGTCTGATCCACGCTCAAGCCCAACAGGTGGCGGTAATGCTCATCGAGGCTGTTTGCCAA